AGAAACTGAAATACAGGAGGGGGTTGATAAGATAATGAACATGCTAATAAAATTATGGGTTCAAACTTGTGCCATTCCCTTGTAACATTTCACATAATCGTATTAATTATCTGTTCTCTCAGTCTTTTAGGCCTAAAGTGTTCATTTTCTATAAAGAATAAATCTGCAGTTTTAGATTTCATCTTCCCTTGTAACCCATTTGATGAAATAATCGTCAAATCGGAAGATCAGTATCCAAAAATGTCTTTGATTATCATATTGATATGAATCTAATAAGTTTAAGAACTGTTTTTGACAACCCAAAATCAATAAATTTTTGTCACAAAAAATTCTCAAATGTCACATTATTTATGACTTTTTAAGTGTTTAAATATAATATTCTAAACACACATATTCATAACGAGTGATCGAATATGAAATTTATACACACGTCATCGTTGTTGTTTAGCTTTTGCTCATGTAAATTATGATAGGTTATCTTTTTTGAATAAAATTCATATATATATATATATATATATTCTGATTTTTTTTCATTTTAATCCTGGATGACGTTAACGCGGAAAAACTCATTCAACATACTTACCACGACAATAAAGATATATTATCAGGATAGACACAGGCAGGGTGGGGCTTATTTTTTTTTGGCTGCCCTAACCTTAATCCGAAAATATATTTCTTATATTTGACTCCATCCCAATGAATTTGTACTTTTTTTTGTCCCGAATTCGTCCCAATTTTTAGACTAAAATCCCGACTCTAACTCGATATAAATATATAAATATTTTAAAATAGTTAAAATAATATATTTTATAATTAATAATTAAAAAATTTCTTAAAATATTAAATATATGTATAAATATAAATTAATCAGGTCAGTTGGGTAGTTGATTTTTCACCTTAAACTCAATATCGCTCAACCCCGAAGTTATATACTATATAGCCCACCCCATCTTGAGCCCCAAAATAAATAAATAAACTCTATCCACACCATAATCCAATCTTGGTAGATTAGAGTAGTCACATTGGTGTTAAAACTTCCGTATCCTATAAGGCTTGAGGGTTTGGTTTAAACCTTGATGAGTTTGCATGTTCATTAGATTTGAGTAAGACTTACTTAGTCGCAGAGAAGACTTATAAGTGTCAAAAAACGTCTAAGGTCGCACGTCCCATCAGACTTTAACTCTGATATTACGACAATTTAGGCTTGAAGGTTCTGAAGGCGTGACAAGTGATAGTCAAGACCCATCAAATTTAGGTATTTTAACTATCCTTATATATCATATAAAGCAAGGATATGCATGAGATCTGAACTCGACGGGTTCTAACATGATATGACCTGATCGGGTCAAATTTTTTTAAAAAAATTCGGGCTCAAATTAAAGTTTGGATCTGGTTTAAGATGAAAAATATCGATCCAACACAAAAAATTATAATTTTAACTTATATATTTAAAAATTTTACAAAAATACCTCTCTATATTTTTAGGGATGGAAAATCCAACCAGATCTGACCAATACCCATCCGTATATAGAACATGCCTTTTAAAAACACTTCACACGTAACACACCTTTATTAAAAATATGTCATTTGAATAAATAATATTATTTAGATACTATTTTAATTAAAAGAATATGATTTTGGATATTATTCCCACAATTCGCCGGCGCCATAACTTTAAAATATAAATTACTTGAAGTAGTTAGAAGATGATTATTTTCCAAATAAATTTAATTTAATCTATTTTTTCAGTTGGAAATATAAGTCAAATCATGGTTAGAAAGTGGAGATGTAATACGATACTTGTTTTTACTCAATTAGTTGGATCCGAGATATTCATTCCATCTCACTATCTCCGCACCAAACTCTCAAAACTTCACAAGAACAAACTCCCAACGCTCGACTCATTCCCAAATTACCTACCCCGCCACCCTAAATGGGTATTAGTCGTCAAGTTTCCTGTGTTGGAACAGCTGATACCAAGCTTAACGAACTCCCATTCCTGTCTGACTCACTTCGATCCTCTCTCGCCACCTTTTCTAATACCTCTTCCTCCAAGGTACGTTCTACTAATGCTAATTTCTTTAGTTCCATAATGGAGGGTCTTTATTGGATTTTATAATGATAAGAAAGTAGGGAATTTTTTCTTTCTGGAGATTCTTTAGCATTTTCTTCGATTTTAATTCAGGTTTAAGAACGTTGTCGATGTGGGTGTTTTCTTCTTTCTTTTATTTTTTTCTCCTTTGATGGCAGAAGGCTTGAAAAAGGTCCTTTTTTTTAACTAATGGGAATGGCAGGTACAAGTTGTGATAGACGATGTTTCTGCTGGTCAAAAGGAAACTGAGATTTCGGGTGAAATTAAGTTTGTGACCAGAAAGGAACTTCTTCTATCCTATTCTGAATCAGCCCGGGTGATCTAAGGTACTTCTACCTTGTTGATTGATTGTAGATATAAGATGGAAGTAAAACAATCTGCATAAGTGAATGACTCAAATAGATGGTTTGGTGATAGATGTAAAGGTGAAATGGTAGCCTATTTATTATATGAGAAATGGTAGCGGAAGTATGTTGTTATGGCTATGGTTTGGTTGGTGAAACAATGGAAGGTTGTGATGATAGTATCTTAAAGAAGACTCAAAGAAGAATTAATGTTAAAAAACAAAGACATACTTTATATTGCTTCTTTAGGGGTGGTAACAAGTACTTGGACCCACTATCTATATGGAGATAGCAATCACAAGTATCAAAGGAAAGGGAATTGACGTCACAAGTAATAAATTACTTGATAAGTCGATAAAAGTCACAAGGACTTAAGCAAAGAGAATAATCTCACTTTTAATTATATGAAAGATGTGTGTACAAATGAAATAGGACTAGCCTATTTATAGTTTTTGAAGGGACTTGACCGAACAGGTACATGGTGGTTCTGCCAGCCCTTGTGTCTCCTTAAAATGATATAATTTAATTAATAAATACATGAATAAAGAAGTGCTGGTTCGGTTGGAATGGATGAGCATGTCTTATGGCCGAATAACACTTGAAGCCTTTCAAGTTGGTGCCAAATTGGAGAGGAAATGATGCTTGGCCGAATGGATAGGTGGCCATTCATCTTGGCGCCTAAATGGAGTCACACGCCTAGCACATGTCTTGGCTGGTCACAAGGGATGCACATGGCTCTCTAGGATGCTTGTGGTGCATCCTTATGCATAGGATGAAGGCCAAACATGGCAGCAGCCTTGGGCGTGACTTGAGCAACACTTGAAGCCTTTCAAGTTGGTGCCAAATTGGAGAGGAAATGATGCTTGGCCGAATGGATAGGTGGCCATTCATCTTGGCGCCTAAATGGAGTCACACGCCTAGCACATGTCTTGGCTGGTCACAGGGATGCACATGGCTCTCTAGGATGCTTGTGGTGCATCCTTATGCATAGGATGAAGGCCAAACATGGCAGCAGCCTTGGGCGTGACTTGAGAGCTACCTTCAAGCTTGCATGTGCTTAGCTAGCTATCGATATTAATGCTGGTGGTGAATGAACTCCTTAGCCGTGACCTTCCAATCTTCATAGCATCTCATCCAACTACATTCAGCTACACTTGATGTCACCTTTAGCAACTTATCTTCAAATAGTCCAACTAGCTAAGATTAACTAGCCTTGAGCTCCTCCAGTTGAGTTGAGCTTTCCTTAGTGTTCCACGAGCTGCCATGATATTTGTGAGCTGATTGTGAGCTGCATATGGCTTCCAAATACTCCACCAAGCTATCCATACATATGCCATACTCCAATGCATCTACATGTGCAAAGAAAACAAGGTAATTCAATGGCATTGAGCTTGTATGAGCTAATTACCTTGCTGTCGTGCATGATTATGGTATTGTGAGCTATGCTTGCATGACATGAGCTAAGTATTTCATCATATACTATATGTGAGCTAATGTATAAGGTCTAAGAGCTAAATAAATGCATATGAGCTAATGAAATGAATGATAAGTATGCTGCTATTTCTTAAATGTAATGAATCATGCTTATTAAGAATGCAAGACTATTCTAACATGCTTAACATATTTAAATATCAATGTGCATCAATTATAAAGATGTGTACATGTTAATGCTTTAGCTATTAAAACATTATACAACTTAAAATTGGAGGGTGTCAAGTTGTCAAATGAATCGAAAGCTTCCTGATGATAGAGTTAAAGCTGTTGATATTATGAGCAAAGCACTTGAACATTTCATTTCGAAAGCTCAGGCTGGTGGTGTTCTTGCTGGAGCTATTGGCCTTGGAGGCTCTGGAGGCACATCTTTGATATCATCTGCTTTTAGATTAGATCTCTTCCTGTTGGAGTGCCAAAGCTAATTGTATCTACTGTAGTTAGTGGTCAAACTGAACCTTATGTCGAAACATCGGACTTGGTTTTGTTTCCATCGATCATGGATATCTGCGGGGATTAATAGTGTTAGTAGAATCGTGTTGTCAAATGCCGGTGCCTCTTTTGCTGGAATGGTGATAGGAAGGTTTGAGAGGTTCCAAGTTCCAACAGCCCCCTAATGATGGTAGAAAATGCACAGTGGGTATAACTATGTTTGGGGTCACAACACCTTGTGTTAATGCTGTCAATGAAAGATTACAGAAGGAAGGTTATGAGACCCTCGTATTCCATGCCACTGGCCTAGGTTGCAAGACTATGGAATCACTGGTTAGAGAAGGATATATGCAGGTAACTTTCTTTTTCATTTATTTGCTTCCAAGCATCTTCATTGAATTGTGAATCGTTTTACCTATGGTGAATGAAATTTATGCATTTCTTTGGTGATATGACTTGACCGTGAGATACCGGATTTTTGGAAATTGTCATTGTTTGACACCCCATGTTAGGATTGAACCTAGATGCTTGTGCTTAGTCAAGCTGCACTGCAGCAAGATATACAAATTCATAAACATTGAAGATATTTAACTTTGTATCCTTCTCTATGGTAGTTTTATTGTTATTTATTATTCAATTCTTTTACGTTCACAATGCCCAGGTGATAAGTCCATATCTCAAATCTTCTTTTTCATGGCATTTTGGTCGGTAACATTGTCCATATGGTAAAGAAAAGTTTATATCATTTCCATCATAACCATTTTTTTCTTTTGGAATTGGATGTTTAAATGGGTTCTGTTTGCACTTTTTACCAAAACAATTAATCGGATCAATCTTTTCTGTCTCACTGCTTAAAAAAATAGGACAGATAAGTCGATCATTCTGGATTATACCATGTTTGATGTTGTCTAATGTGTCTTGTATGTATTAATGATGGGTGATGGCAGGTATCGCTTATGTGAACCACAGTAGATGAGAACATAAAATTTGCTGGCTACATAGCTGATAAACTAAACAAGTCATCATCAAAGGTCTGTGTTTGCCTTCCAGAAAAGGGTGTTTCAGCATTGGATGCATCAGAGAAGCCCTTCTATGATCCTCAGGCTACCAGTACACTTTTAAATGAACTAAAGAGACTTATTAAGATAAATGAAGATCGCCAGGTATCATTATTCCTAATTAAATAGCGTGTACCTAAATTGTTTACTTTATTTATATGTTCAAGTTTCTTTTGCATCATGTTGCATTCCAATTTTTCTTATGAAGTTGAAATTACGTCTACTGATAGGTAAAGATGTATCCTTACCATATAAATTACCCTGCGTTTGCGAATGCCTTGGTCGACTCATTTATGGAGATTTGCTCGAAGAATACTACAGACTCTAGTCTTCCCCAGGTTGCCTCTCTTGTGTCCAGCCATGACCTTCAAAAGGATCATGACTACAGTGTGAACTCATCTATCTCGGCCCCCCCCCCCCTATAGCCCTAGCAACTTCCCTGATGCAAGACCAGGTTGGATTATTGTTAAGGGAACCGTTTTATAAGGATGAAAATATGGTTCTAATACCTTCAATTTGCAGCATGTGCTCTGAATGTATAGACTTTTACACCCTTGCATGTATAACAATCTTGCATAGCAACATGCTAATTATCAACAATTTGATTATTAATTACACTAACTGACACCGTTAATTCTTTTCAACCTAGTACCTAGGTTTAGTATGTTTCTTTGTTTCAAAGCTGAAATATGGTTGATTCAATTATATACTGTTGTTTTTTTTAAAAATATATAAGGTTTTCATGAATGTAAGCTTTAGGTTCAAACTCGAGCCGGAGCTTAAAACAAGCTCTAGTTTGGACTTCAATTGAGTTGAATATGAGAATATTTCAAGTTTTAGTTTTTTTTGGACTCGAGTGAAGCTTCTATTTTTTTTATTGAGTCTAACATAAAGTCTTAAGCTCTCAAGCTTTCGAGTTGAGTTTTAATTTTGATTTCGAATTCGAGTTGAGTTTGACAATTTAAAACTCGCAAACTCTCATGTCGAATCGAATTTAACTTCAAATTTTTTGAGTAGAGTCAAGACTAATTTACAGCCCTACCCATGCGTTGCTAATATTTGGGAAATTACAACATGCCATTGTCCATGCCAACATGGGATTTTTCTGAACAAGAATCATATAGCTGTGGCTTTGATAATCTTTATACAAGAGATGCCATAACATGCACTATTCTTTTAGCTATGGAAATCAGAGGCCTTTTACTCCGAAAAGGAAGGCGTGGGGTGCTAAAGTTGGGAGGTACTATTTTCAGATGATTTATCAGTCATGCACTCATTACGTATCATCAAACATCTGGGCAAACATCCCAGCATTCCCTGTTACTTGTGCGCCTAGTGTATTTCCATTTTTATACTTTTTAAGTTGGTATTTTTTCTGAAAAATCATCTTTTTAATTTAATATTCCGGATCAGGCACCGATCAGACTATATTTTCTGATCTAACACCCTTTGTAGTAAGACGCGTCGCGCTATACGCTGATTTGGCGCTACGTGGGATATGACGCGCCGCAGGCTATACGCTGATTTGACGCCACGCGGGGTAAGGCGTGCCTCCTGCAGCGCGCCTTATGCTGACATGGATACACGTGTGTATGGCGTGGGGCAGGGGCCGCGCCATACGCCACGTAAGATATAACGCGGGACAGGGGCCGCGCTATTCAATTATCTCAATTATCAAACATACATCCCAAACTTCTCGGCTTTAAGGTATCCTCTCTCGGCTTTAAATAGCGGTCTCCCGTAAACTCTATCACCAACAATCCTTTGAATCAGTAAATAACATCCGCCAATCATCTTATATTTGATTCAGAAGTTTGCTCGATCTTTCGTTATAAGGTAATTTTGTTATAATATTTATTTTATAGTTATATATGATTATTTGAAAAAAAATATTATACTAATTATTTTCAATTAAATTTATGTGTTTGTAGAATTAGAAAGTGGGAGCAGACATCGAAATATTTTTGCGGTGTAGGTAATAATATAAAATTATATTATTTAAATTATTTACTTTTATGTGTAAAAAATTTATTATGTTATATTTTTGGTCATATATTATTTATTTAATCAGGTTTGTTTCAGTTGTTTTTTTTACAGATATAATATTGTTGCACTTTTAAACTCTAAGAATGACGCGACTTTCATATATTGTTTATTATGATGGAGAAATTCGAGAAGATGAAACCAACGTTATTTTCGTATCAAATGAGCGTGTTAAAATATCATTCAAGAGAAACATAACTCTTGAGGAGCTGATAACGAAGATTTCGAGGAAGGTTCATGTTGGAAGTAGTCAAAGAATGTCGTCGTTGCAGTACAGATTTCCAACATCATTGTTGACTTTAATTTATACAACGTTCGAACTATCGAACAATGATGATGTTGAAATGATGGCTGACTCTCAAAGTAATTATTCAGACGGCGATATTGAGATGTATGCAAAGTTTGTTCAAGTGCGTGCTGTTCGGGGTCAGCCATTAAGCTCACACTATGGGCTGGCTGAACAAGTTGAACAAGTTGACAGCCCGACTACAGTAATGCATAATGATTTTAATGTCATAATGGGAAATCCACATCATGGTGCCGGAACATCAACTTCAATGGGAGACATTTATCCGCAACTCCTTACAATATGTACCGAGATGGGTCCACGAATAATCCATATGGAAACATCGCGTCCAGTTAGAGGGGAAGGCATTCATCTGAAAATTTCTTTGACCTTAATATGGAGATGCATCGACGCAACAATCTGTGCAGTTTCCATTTGACACAATGGCTTCAAGCTCCAGGGGGAGACATTCGATTGCGAACTTTTTCGATCTCAATCCAAATATGCCTTCTAGTTCAAGGGGAAGGCGTGCCAGTAGTAGGTTCTTCGACCTAAATGTGGAGAGCATGGAGGAACCATAATCTTCACTAGAAGAACCGCTTCGTGAGCCTGGTGCAGATAGTGTTGAGACTGGACTATTCATTCACCCAGAATCACCGCAATTCAACTCCGATGGTGATGATGATGTAGATGAAGTTCCAGCAAATGTGGCACAAATTGACCCTCCAACACACATGTATGAAGCTGATTATGATGCAATGTACGAGCCAAAATTTACGGATATGCCTCATCTCGGTGACTATAGATATTACTCATCAATAAATAATGGTGAGTTATCTTTAGGCATGGAGTTTTCAAGCAAGGAAGGAGCGATGATGGCTATCAAAAATTAAAATATCCGTAATTTTGTTCACTCCAGAGTCGACCGCTCCACGACCGAAAAATATGTATGCTACTGTGCCCGACGCGAAAGCGGATGCAATTGGATGGTTCGCGTATCGAAGAGGAAGAGGAAAAACAACAGACGGGAACTAACAGTATACAACGGTCCTCACACATGTTGTGCTGGAAAGGTCAACCAAGATCATCCCAACTTGGACTCTGAAGTGATATGCCAAGCCATCATGCCCATGGTAAAAGCAAGCTCTCATATAGCTGTTGCAGTGTTGATTTCAGCTATACAATCACAGTATGGGTACAATGTCTCATATAAAAAAGCTTGGTTGGCAAACCAAAATGCCATTGTCAAATTTCATGGCGAATAGGGCGCATCTTACAACGAACTTCTAGGTTAGTTTAGGCTGGTGCGGACGTTGAATCCTGGGAAAATTGTGGACTTCGAAACCTCCTACGCATACCATAATGATCGAGTTCCACGCGATCGATGCCAATTATACCGGGTTTTTTGGATTTACCCACAGTGCGTTAATGCTGTCAAATACTGCAAGCATGTGGTCCAGATCGACGAGACTTTCTTGTATGGAAAATACAAGCAAGTTTTATTATTGGAAGTTGTCCAAGATGGCAATCGCAACATTCTTCCAGTTGATTTTGCTCTTGTCAAAGGAGAAGATATAGATTCTTGGGCTTTTTTCCTCCGAAACTTACGTGCACATGTTATCACGAGGGAGAAAATCTGTATCATTTCAGATCGCGGAGCTGGGATCAAAGCAGCAATGGAGTCTTTGGGTCCAATGTGGCAACACTCTTTGTCCAACATAGGTATTGTCTTCGACACATTGCTGCGAACTACCATGGAAGGTACAAGAAGAATGATGAGCGTCAATTAATTGTGCGCATGGGTAAGTGAAAGCAAGTTAGTAAGTTATACATTTTTTTAATCATTTTAATTTTGCAAATAAATCAAGTTATTAAGTTATACATTTTTTGATCAGGTTACAAACTACTTCTTCGAACGTTTGAATCAATGCTTCAAGATTTGTGGGCGAAGAACGAGGAAGGATACGATTACATCAACCTCATCGATAAAGAAATGTGGACGAACGCATATGATGGTGGATATCGATATCGACACATGAAGACCAACTTGGCCGAGACAATCAATTCAACCTTAAAGGGTGCATGTCACTTACTTGTAGCATCTTTGGTAAAAACTATATATTTTCGTTTGGGGGCGCTTTTTGCGAAGCTCGGGGGACAAGCTGAAACATGGATGCAAGGCGGTCATGTCTATCACCCTAGATTAGTTGCAGATATACAGAAAAAAATTGATGCATCAAATGGATTGTCTGTAACAAGCTTCTCTAGAAGTCATGAAATGTTTCGTGTCACAAAGTTGATGTAACCTCTTCAAGGGATTGAAGTTGTGTCGTTAAGAGTAAATCTAAGGGACAGAACGTGCGACTGCGGGTTTTTTCAATCTCTGAAGTATCCATGCTCTCATGTGATAGCAGCTTGCTCGCATACACATCAAGACTATAACCGTTTTGTGGATCTCGTATACCTACTATATGAAGTTTTTAAGGTATATGAATTTGAGTTTCCCTGATAGGTAATGACAAAGACCCTGATAAGGTTCAAGATTAGCTTTCGATCGTACCAAATCTGAGTTTATTGAGGGAGCGTGGTCATCCAAAATCCAATCGAATTCATTGCGATATGGATATTCGAGAAAGATCTAGACAAGACAGAAGATGTGGGCATTGTAGAAACCCATGACACACTAGAAAAACATGTTCACTTCTATTGTCATCAAGTAACAATTGATGAGGAAATGATGTAGTTGTTTATCAAATAATAATTCTTGTACTTTACTTTGCATTTACTTCAAGTTAATGTTATTCGATAACCGTTGATGAAGATTAAAAAAATGATACAATTATTCGAGATTAGACGTTGGCGTTATATTAACTAATAATTGATATTAACGATACAATAAGTATTAAATGATAAATGATAACCAAATTACAATAACTTATATTAAATGATAAATTAACAAAGTAAGTATTAAATGATAAATAATAAAAAAATTACAATAAAAAAGTCCAATAAACAACTACAATAAAAAGTACTAAATACAAGTATAAAA